TTTGCAACTTCCCTTAAAACTTGGTTAAAAAGCTTGAGAAGTCATAGAGAAAAGCAACAGCCACTCTCAAGAGTTAAGCCTGCCAACTGACATACACAGTGTGCTTTAAAGTGTTCCAGAGAAGGAGCACAACTGCTCTAGGACATTCTGAAAGGCAGTGCCCAAGCCACAGAGAACTGGCCGAGCCACAGAGAACTCGCCCCCTGAATGCTGTGGTTTCCCACAAATTGCTTAGATGGCTTCCATCTGGGTGGCCTCATTTACAGCTCGTTGCAGAAGAGCTGCCGCCCACTTGTTTTCGAGAGGTGGGGGTCATTCTTGTGAATCTTGATTAGGATTCAGCGGGAATGAACCTGGGCCGGAGGGCAGAGAGGATGACTGGAAACTCTGACACCCTGGGGCAGTCCCATAACTCCCCTGAGACGTGGCAGTCGGGCTGGCAAGTGAAGACAACGTGGGTGTCTCTTAGCCAGCCCTTTCTTGAGCACGCACAGAATTCTCAAATGGACACGCTGGGGCCTCAGGCAGCGGCTAGGCCCCAAGGCGCGGCGGAGAGGCCAGGCCCCAGGTTCACGAGGCGAATGGCATTTTCCGAGAAGGTTAAGTACAATTTCTGTCCTGGAGTCCTGTTACCAGGACGAAACCTGTTCTACAGTCACGTCTTTATCTTGAACATGTATGTAGAAGATATATTATGTCACTTAAGTTTGGCATTCAACTTCTTTCTCGTATATGAGAACAAAACAAAAATAAAACAAAGGTTATAAACCCCTTTCCAAGTCAGTATGACATACCCATGGCGACCAAATGTTTCTAAGACCAGGCCCACACTGTACTGTCTTTCCTGTGTAAATCAGGCATGAAAACGTAGGCACGTGGCTTTATTCTTAACAGATTTCTCTCATACAAACATATATGACCAGGCTCCTAAGTTTTAAAACACTGGATGCTTGACGTCTGACCAGCGCGTATCCAATTCACGTCTGTTATTTTTAGGGCGGTGGGCTGAGTGCTAGACCCTACTGCAGGTCACATCCCGTTACCGTCTCCATCCCTCTGCACTTGATTCCCTGGCAAGTGGAATTGTAATGATGTTTATTTCCTGACGTTTCTCATCTTTTCCTGTTCTCCAGTCATTATCGAGTCTCCATTTGGCAGACAAAGGGAAATAAAGGGGCAAATGTACAAAATACAATTATTAAGCCTATAACCAGATAACCAGGGGTAGGGCTGAAGGGTCAGAGAGACAGAGATGAGACTAAAAAACGTAGAACAGGAAAAACAGGAAATAGGGCAGGGAGAAAATACAACTGAACAGTTGTTTTTTTCCCTGAAGGTTCTTTTATGTGGTTTATAATTTGTGATATGTAGCCTAATAGGTACATTTTTTTGAGGGAAACAATAAATGGTGAGATAGCAGTGAGGCAAATGGTTGTGTGTGTGTGTGTGTGTGTGCGTGTGTGCAAGCATGCACATATACAAGGGTGGGCCAAAGTAGGTTTACAGTTTTGGTTTTTTATTTTTTATTTCTGATGCAAAAATTTACTAGAGATAAATTCAATTTTCAGTGGTTTCTGATGCTGATCCATCACAATTTTTAATTCATATGGTGGTCTCTTCATCTCCACTTGGGCCTCTGTACTGGAAATCTCTTCTATCAGGGACCCTTTTTTGCTTGAAACTTGGTCTTTTGGCAGTTTATTCTTGAATTATTATTTATTTATTAATTATAGTATTATTTAGCATTATTATTAACCTACTTTTGCCCACCCCTGTAATACATGACAAAGCCAACTGAGCTTCTGTCACGGTTGTATTAACCTTTCCCCAAACTAAAATTATGTACTATATTTATTCCCTACTGAATAAAACAGAATATATTATATATTCCATGAAAGTGAGATTTATATAGAACTGAACACCTTGCTGACCGGCTATTTCAAGCCAGAACCCGCCCGTGCGGCCGGCTACTTTGGTCAGCAAGGTGTTTAAAATCACTTAAATTAATGTAAGTGCAGACACGAGTTATCTCGTGACTGGTCAGCAACGTTCGGACACAGAAACACATGTATACTTGTGACCAGTCAGCAATTAATGTTACCTACTTATAAAAATTGGGTGAGGGGAAAAAATCAAGTACAGAAAACCAGTTTCAGATTTAACTCAAGCCTGCAATTGAAAATTGATGGAGGAGCATGAAGCAGTTTATTTTCGTTACACTAATCCAATGCAGTACTTGGAAACTGGGAGTTTTTATGCTCTGGAAACTAGCTTTGCGTGTCTGGTGAACATGGGCGAATGGCTGACTTGTTTCCACGCTGTGCGTCCTCCAGCCTTCGGCGGTGCTCTGCCCGGAGAACTCACTTAACCTGCGCCTTGCCTCTCACCTCCAGTCCGCCACGTGGAGCGCATCCCGCGGGGAAGAAATTTAGTAACAACTGGCTGAAGCCAGGCTGGTCTGCGTTAGGAGAGAGGCTGGTGCCCAGCGAGGGAAGGAAGTTCTTGGAAGTGCTTCTTAGAAAGTGTTCATTCTAGAAAACGGTGCCTGTTTTCAAGGGTTGTTGCCACATGGCCACCGGCAGGCAGGCCTGGGCCGCATTGAGAATGTGATGTACTTGGCTGCTGCCCAAGGTCATGGCTGATTTGCCCTGACAATGGATAGACCGGCTATGGGGAAGATGGCAGCTTGGACATATACAGGTTCCTTTTTACGACAGGTGCAATTCTTTTTTTTTTTCTTTTTTACTTCGGGAGGCTTTTATTAACATTATAATTTGGAAAGCATCGTATAATAGAATATAAACAGAAGATCTCCATGGAAGCTATTTAGCTACAATGCGATTTTGAAACGGATGAGGCAGTGAAGTTGAACAGAGGGCCATGGCTGAGCAAAGAGAGTAAGTCCTTTGATTTACCTCCCTGACCTGTGTCGGATTCTGTTTACTGTCCCTGAAGGTCATCTCTAATTCTAACTGCCCGTTTGCTTCCCGGCTCCCTGAGAACTTGGAGCTGCGACGCCCTTTTGGGGAACATAAAATACCTTCCGTATAATCAGGTCTGCCGCTGTGCCGACACCAGGTCTGCAGCTTAATTACTGATTACCGGAGGCCGAGGGAGGGGCCGGTTCAGAGCTGGCATCTGAATACCAATCAGTGTTAATGAAAGCAGAACTCGTAAGCCACAGCCATTGCAAAGGGCACCCAGGTCAACCTCGATTCAAAGACTGACGCTGTTCAGGCTGCTCACAGATGAATATTAGTGAGAGAAATCAGAGTCTTCTAACCAGTTATGGACTGTATTTTATTGTGTAAATCAACACTGTCCTCCAATGAGTCCCCGGCAGTGTTTTGAGAAATTGCAATGCACTCTGGTATTTTTCGCTGGCTGCATGTGAAATTCCTGAAGCTGTCCAACTCTGAGCTCTCCCTTCAGAGAAAAGTTTCCCGTATCTTCTATGGAAACAAGTCTTTCGTTGTTGGAATTACAGACCAAGCTCTCGTTTGCCAGTAGACAGTGATCTAGCGCGAGGCCTTGTTGTCTCTGACCTTTGCTCCTTGTGCCTCCTGCGTCGTGGTGGATGGGGCATCACTGTGACAGTGGAAACTGATGACTGGGTGAGCGGGGGGGTGGGTCCCCACTGTGTCCAAGGGACCTCAGTCTCAGGGCACCACCACCATGGGGGGGTATGGCATGTACTGACCCAGCTTCCACCCCCCTTACTGTCTGCTGAGCCACAGTGTGGGGGCTGCACCCCAACTCCTCCTGCACCACCACATGAGCTGGGGCCGAGGCAGGCACCAAACTGTCCCCTTCCTTCGCCCCATCCACCCTCCCTACAGGTTCCAATACTGCCACCTGCATAGGCACTGATGTGTGGATCTTGGGAGAGTCTGTGTGCTAAGCAGGGGAAAAACTTTGCTGGGTTGTTGATGTCCCACTCACAACTTTAAGGGGAGCCACAGAGGGGTTTCAGGACTGCACCATGATGCCAACATCACTGATCAAATTCTTTTAGTCTAGGTCTGAAACTATGGCAAGAAAACATTGCTTGAAAAATACACGATTTCAGTTTGTTTGTAACAGAAATTATTTTTTTTTGTCGAACTACTGAGTGTTGTTAATACGAGCAAAAGCTGAAGTATAAAAGGAAACAAACACCCTGAATGCCCAACGATGCCGAAGGTCATGGTGGTCATTCCTTCACCAGATGTTTACCGGGAATCTATTATGCTCAATGGGGTGGGTGTTTTCCGCTGTGTTTCCTTAGCCTGGTCCTCCCACCCCTGCGTCCTGCAGTCTCGGTCAGCTGTCAGCCAACCGAGTACTTTTCTGGAGGCTAAGATGCTTCATTTTAGGATAAAGGGAAGGCCAGGAAAAGAGCCGCCAAAGCTGAGGCGGCTGCTGCTGTTGACCGGAGACCTGCTATATATTAATCTGATTAATCTGGCGAGCCGTCCCCATGCTAGTTAACGCTTATCATTAGGAAAACTGCAGAAGCAAAGTATTTACTTGTCTCTTTCTGTCCCGCACCCCTCCTCCCCTCAGTGGTTTCTATGTCAGGGTTTTGGCTAAACCTTAACCCTGCTGTGAGCAGGTTTCCATAGCATTTTATTACAGAGCCTGAACTTATATTCAATCCTGTTATGGACAAATAGACGCTAGGAAAGAAATCCTTTGTAACACAGTGTGAAACAGCCCCTGGTAGGAGCCACGTTTAGCTTCTGATAATGTGCTGGATGGCGTTTGAGTCGAGCTCCTGTGTGCCGTCTTGGGGTCCTCAGCCCTTGGTGATTTTTCAAATAACTTTTATCGTGGGTCTAAAATGACAGCTTTAGAAAAGCCGCTGCCAATTTTAGAGCCCCCACCGTGGCTAGAGACGGCTGATAAACGAGGACAAGCCAGCAATGCAAAGACCAGGCGGTTTGCGCGATCCCCGCACCCAGGGCAGCAGAAGCGAGCTGCGCTGGTCTGAGGCTACCTGGCAATCTGCAGTTACTCGCCTTGCAAGCTGTAGATCTCGCCCACGCTGCTCTGCCGGGTGATGTGGTGCCAGTAGGCGCTGCGAGGAAGAGAGATCGACTTGGATAGCGTCATTGGCTCCGTGAGGCTTGTCTGCAGCTGAGAGGAAAAGAGAACAGGTCTCAGGCTTTATTTAAAATATTAAACTGAAATCTTCACTTTTCAAAGTTGAGGGTGAGAGGTGGGGTTACAGGTCCCGGCTCCATCTGCTGCTCATGGGTAACTTTTTTAAAAAAAAGGTGAAATCATGGCTGAAAAGACATGAAGTGAACACTTGTAAGCAACGTGATCCCACTGGTTCATTAAGGAGCAAAGAGGTGGTACAACTGACTCCACGCTGGTTCCCAAGGACATACAATCAGGAAAGCTGATCGACAGCCACAGAAATAAATAGCTGTATCCGCCAGGAGAACGTATCTGCATTTCTATGACAGAGTTACGTGTATTACTATCAGCTTGCTACAGCTGACTGAATTTTAAAATAGCTCAAGCAACAGAGGTGGGAGCCCCTGCTGAGACACATACCCCAGAACGCTGTCAACTCAGGACGGTGTTTCTGTTTTACCCAGTTCCCTGTGTTACAGGTTTTCCCTGACACCTCCTCCTGCCCTTACTCGATGGCTCTTTCCTTGCATAGATCTTTCTTCTTGGTCCTGTGACACGATCTCAAGTATTAAAAAGTGTTTTCCCTGCAAAAGTCTGTAATAAAATGGTGGCATATTTTCTTGAACATAAAATTCAGGTGAGCTGATGAGGTCCGCACATCGCACCAGGGGCCAGGCGTTCGGCGAGTTCAGAGAGTACACGCCTTCACGTGGGGTTTTCAAGAAGAAACTTTATTTTTATTGACTCACACCAGGTTTTTTAAAAACACACCCAGAAACGGTTTGATGTGGTCTTAGCGCACATTTCTCTGATGCAATCTGAGCAAACATCCACTTTCTCACAGACAACGGGCAATCCTCTGATACTAAAATCTCCAATTTCCCCTTATTAAGTACCCGGGAGCGGTAAAGCTCAGCTGTGCTGAGTGCAGCCTTAGCACCGTTTGCCAGCTGTGTGTGCACTTTCCTACCGAGGTCTCCCCGCCCCAGTACCTCCGCACTTCCCACCGGGTGTTAGTCACCACCCCGAGTAGAAGAAATGTACCTGAGAGGGTATAACAGGATCTTAAATGCCCTGTGACACTAACAGGCCTTTCCATTTTAAGACTCTGAAGCCCAGGGGCTTGAACATCCCAATTTGATTTTACTTTTTTAGTAGTGAGACATTTCCAAGATGCTTTCTCTTGGCATGAAAGTGCCCCACTCAGTGTATTTAAAAGTCTGGCCCTGTCGAAAGAATTTTTTTTTTTTAAGATGGCTTCAAATAGCAACACAGCAACTGATTTTTATATTTTTTCAGAATTTGCTCTATTTCAAAGTTTGCCTCCTTATTATGAATGAAGATAGGTGGACTACCTGCACCCACAGCCCATGATTGGTAGGCAGGGGGAGTGGGGGAGAAGCTAAACTTCTGGGTTACAACAGGCCAGTGCTCTTCAGCATCTTTGGGATGCTGTGACCAGGCCCACGTCTAGTTTTACCCAAGACCTACTGGCTGGAGAAGCTTGTGGGTGGGGAGGGGACTGTGAAACCATCTTCAAACACACTGAAGCCACCATCCCACTATGGTAAGGGGCGGAGGCCAGGCTCATTCTGTGAAATTGTCACTGGGACAAAAGGGCTTTCACCTCTAAAGCCAGTTCCTCGTGTGAGGTGTAAACTTAATTAAACACACACATCTTTAATTAGTGTCAGCAATGCCCATTAATAGCATCAACTAATCCACCAAATGAGTCTCATAGGAATCGCACTCTTAGATCTTTTATAATTTGTCTATTGCTTAGCATACAGTAGATCACCGGTGAGTTCATCTTCCCCACGTGTGATGAAAGACCTTTTCCATATGTTTTTGGTGGTGGTGGTTGTCCATTTGGGAAACAGAATGGCTGCTACGTCTAGGAGCCGTCCGTCACCACGCAAAGTTATCACAGCGCTGCGTTGATCATATTCCCTCTCTCCTTTTTCACCCACCCCCCACCTCCGAGAGGTGGGTTTCTAAATTTATTTAAAGAATTTACATTTTTCGGTTGTTCTTATATATAACTTCCGCCTTCTGTTTCTTTTACATTGTTTTCTTGGTCTTTGTCTTTTCAAGCTCTGCACTTGCACTTGCATTCTTATTAGGTTGTTAACGAACGCCTCGGCCTCTGAATGCCACCGGGTCCACTTCTCAAAGGCTTTCTAAGGAGAATGAAAACAATTCTTTCCTAAGTTATATAATCGTGGCTCCATTTCCTCTTTTATACAGAAGGTCGCTTGTGTACATTTTGTTGAGATATTGCTTTTTCATGAATATTTTATTTTCATTTAAGAATGCATTGTGATCAGAGAACATTGTCTGAGTAGTTTCTGTGTATTGAAGTTTATTACTCATTTTTATCTCATATACGGCAATTTTTGTATATGTCTTATAGATACTTGAAAAGATGTACAGTCAACATAGAGTCTCTCTACAGACGCACACACACAATTAACTCTGTATTTCCTTCTCTAAATATTGGTTTAGTTTTAAAACGTGCTTCATCAGATATGAAGGAAAGTGTTAATTAATTTCAAATCACTAATTAACATGGTTTTGCCCATTTCCTCTTGTAGATGGAAGTGCCATTTTATATGTGAAAATGGAACTTGGCAGGCAATTCTTGACTGTGTTGTGGTCCTATAACTTAGTTTCCATTCTTTAGCCATATTTTCAAACTCCACTTATTTAAAGTTTTCCTTGCCCCAGGGTCCAACCTCACCTCCCTCTCTTAGCCCCCACTCTTCCAAATACATGGGTTAATAATTTCCTCTACTTTTCTTGAAACTCTGAGATTCTGTCTCAAGAAATGGTGACATTCATCATCCATTAATCTCTTCTTTGCCTCACCTGCACTTGGTTTAGTAGAATTCCCTAGGCATTTACACCATGTGTATAGGTAATATTTTTTCCCTTATTTTCAGCTGAATTCAAATAGTCTGTGTTTTTATCTTTTTTTAGTCATTTTACCCGGCATTTGGCCCAGGAATCATTTGCGTTATCTAGTTGCATCCTCATAAGATTCCTGGGAGATGGGGAAGGGGTGAGGGGTCTCACTTTAAAATGAGAGGGGGCTGGGGCTTTGAGGTAGTTATCGACTTCTCCAAGACCGAACGTTTCCTGGGAGCTTCAAGAACAGAATCATGTTTCTGCTCTGTACCTCTGTAGGTTTTTTGACCATCAAGAGATTCTATGTGATGTCTTTCAAATGAGGTTGCATCATAAATAGAATTAAACATTGCATTCTTTTTGTGGAAGAATGGAAAAGCCTGCCTTCAGGAATAGGTAGCCTAGGTCCCACGCTCTCAAATCTGGGCTGTCTGGTGACTGCTTTGATCAATAACATGTGGTCACCATGATGTCATGTCTGCTGTGGGGGTACCCTTTAAGATGGTCAAGGCAGTTTCTTCCCTCCAGTTGTTCTGAGTCATTGTGTAGGTCTCACTATCCTGAGGCTGCCATGGTGGGAGGAAGCCCAAGCTAACTGTGAGCACAGGCCACCTAAGTCAAAGTTACAGTCCTTCTTGGAGAATCTAGCAGTTCTCATCTTACCGGTGGAAAATCAAAATCCAGAAAATATTCAGGAACTTGCTCAAGGGAAAATCCCAACTTCAGAACCTCTACTGGAAAACAGTTCTTTTGACTTGAGTCCATTGCTCTTTAGACTTTGATGCTACTGGGAAAAATGAGCCTCCTTCCCAACATAGTATATAATATGCAACAATACAGCCTTGTAGTTTGCCCGGAGGAAGCAGGTAGGGCCTGAAGACTGCTGTGGTTTTTGTGAAGGGACTGCCTACCCGCACCTATTCCTGCTTTTATCAAAAAAATTAACCACGAGACCTTATTGCCTTTCACAATTTCCCTGTGCTGTTCAAAATTCTGCCTCCCTCTGTGATAAACATTAATGCTAATTTGTGTTTACCCACATAAAATCCATCCATATAAAAATGTTAACAAATTAATTCTCCTTTTGCTCTGTATCTCCATAATTATTGCCTCAGAAATTGAAAATCCTATTAGCACTTGAGACACAAATCTGTACAACTGGGAGAGGAAAAATCCAGCATTTAGAAATTAACAATGATGAGTCATTCTCTGTGCCCGGCAATGTGCAAACTGGTGTTATTCGTCATTTCATTTAATACCCACGTAAACTGTCAACAAATATGCCACCTGGACTCTACAGACAAGGAAAATGCAGCTCCGAGAGGTCATGTCATTTGTTCATGGTGACACAGCCAGCAAGTGATGTCTCTGAGGCTTCAAAGACCATGACATTTCCTCTTCACCATAACTCACTGTAAAATAAATTATTGAATTCCTTTACTTCAGGGAGCAGAGAAGATCAGAATTACCCCCACTGGGTAAATCCCACTGGACCAAGGCAGGAGGGCGAGCTCCTCTTGCCTATGTTCCAAACAGAAGAGCACAACACACACAGGATCGTGCAGTTGTGAGCACAGGAGCTTTGCTGTCCACCAACCTGTCATCAGACATCAGCTCCACCGCTGTCCAGTCACTGGGCCTCAGGCAAGGCACTTACACTTTGTTTAAGACTCAATTTTTCCTAATCTCTAAATTGGAATTAATATAATCCACCTTAAGTGTTATAAATATTTTATATGATGATGCTTTGACAGTGAAAGGCATAGCGTTTGTCATATCAGAAGTGCTCAGTGAGGACTGCTGCATCACGATTGCTCCTGCTGCATGGGGAGGTGGCTTACACCAGGTGTCCATGTCTATATGGTTAAGACGTGGAAATCTGTCCAAAATGAGTGATCAAAGAAATGACAATGAAGAAAGAGGCATGTGCTTGGATCTGAGTCTAAGACCCTCATAGAAGTACACAACTCGAGAAATATGAATATGAGGAATATGGCGGGGTGGGGGTGGGGTGGGTGTGTGTGTGTGTGTGTGTGCGCGCGCGTGTGCATAACATAAGCTGGGAAAGAACAGTCACAGCTTCTGTAGGATGGAGTTAAGAAATCCCTGGGTGGATGTGTCAACATGTTCCTTGGTCTGTCTGAGACAAAGGGACTGGGCAGGAATATACATTGTGAATTACAAACGCTGCACAAATATGGATGGTTAGGAAACAGGCTAACGTGACCTGTGTATGTCAGTGTAACAAAAAAAATGTAGTGCTGCTTAGAGTGGAAATGCTGAATTCAAGTTGAGAACATTTAGTTTCTTTTGTTCTTGGGCAAGAGCTCATGAAACCTGAAGACTGTGTAGAATAGAAAGCCCCAGAGACTTTTAGCCAGCTGAGCTCGGCACTGTTTGGATTCACGCAAACCGTCCTCTGAAGTTTGGAGATTTATGGGCCATTGGTTTCCCACAGACTTGACTTAATTTTCAATAGGGGACGTCTCACACTGAATCCTTCATTTTATTCAAGAGAAATGAAAGGAATTAGAAGACACTTTGCTGAGTTTGCACCAGACTAACATAAAATGTAGTTTATACAGTCATTTAATGGAAGGTGCTAGGTGTCATTTAAAACTAGATTGTGGAATATTATTTTCATTAGACTTGACAAACATGAATGTTATTATTTGTATTCTAAACCATGCATTGACCAACTTTTAGGGGATAACATGATATAAATAAAACCCTTACTGCTATACTGTGTTACAGCACCGCCTATTAGAAAATGTACACCCTGCCTTCTCACCGTTTCCCTCCCAGGTGTGTGTTTGTGGCAGTGTGCGTTTTTCTTTGTGTGTATTTTTGGAGACTGCATTTTCTTTAGTGTTCTGAAATGGGAGCAATAGTCAGTGAGCCGGTTCATTAGGATCAGGGGCCTCACTTTAATTATCGACCATAATAATCTGTTCTAATTGAGCTGTGTTGGTTTATTACAATCAGTGTCTATCCATCAGTAAAATGAGATCTCACAATTATGTGAATAGCATTTCCCAGCAGGGGACTGGTCACTGTCGATAAGAATGAAGGCTCTTCTCTCATGATTACGAATTGATAAGACTGAGCAATAGATTGACGAGTAGAACTTTGAGGAATGAATTCATTCACAGCGATTCCTGCCTGTTAAATATTACATACCACTTGCAATCACAAATCACAGCATTTAAACGTTTCCCAGAATTTCTTAAATGTCTATGAACAATTCTTAGACAAGAGATTGCAAAACGTGGTGAAATTTTTCTGTGTACTCTCATCAGACAGTTATGCTTCCAGATTCTTCACATTTTCAGTGTGGGAAAACATGTTATTTTTTCATAACTGAGAGATTCCTGTAAAATGTGGGCATGAAGACTGCTTCCACTGTCCTATCCGAACTGCCTGGGGTAGAGCCCGTTCCAGAGGCTTTCTCATTCCTTCAAAAATTAAAATGATCACACTGTGCTTGCGGTCAGGTTAGATATACTCGGAAGGAAATGAGAGATACTATTGAGCTACAGCTGGGAATGATAGTTTGGTGTCTTCAGAATATGTTTTATAACAAGTACCGTGCACTCTAAGATGCCATCAATGAAAAGAAAGTATTTTATGTGGCACCAGGAAAGAACAGTGCTACTAACGAAACTGCAAACCCACGTTAGACAAGAGAGATGTTCAAATGCGAAAAAAGTGTGCATTTTGGAAATGATGCAATGTAACAGTATTTCCCCGTTCATGCACCTGTTAGGCAAAAATTATTTCAGGGTCTGGTAGTAATCAACACTTGGGTAAGTTTTACTGTCAAGTATAAAATCTTCTTAATTGAGTCAGTTAATATTAATTAATTCTTTCAATATCTTTTTCGGTGAAGGAAACCAAAACACACGCTTTTAAAATAAGCCTCACCAGCTCAGCGATTCTTTTTATCCGATACTCTGCAGTGCAAATGTCCTGTTTACTCTCACTGCTCTCCTAGATATTAGATCCTTCAAGCAGGAGTAGAAATAGTGCCTATCTTAGATTATGGGGATAGGTCAAAATATGTTTATTCATGTGTTCCTCTAAAAGAAAGGTAACAAACAAGGGAAAAGCAAGGTTTTACACACAAATGACATCAAAAGAGTGTATTGAATTCTTTCTCTTATAGTTGAGAAATGGTTGTTGAGAAATTATTTCCTATTCAAGTTTATCTATAAAGCCAGTAACAGTCCTGAATCACCTTTAAAAGAATGTAAGTCAATGCTTCATTTAATTGCCTGAACAAGTATGTTTGGGGCATTCATTGCGTATATAGCTCATTGGTAATTTAATCTTGTAAAATCTTTTTAATCACATTAAAATATATAAACATCTTCTATCTGATCAATATTAATCTTCCACAGACCAGTTTTAAACGGAAAGGCCAATGAACAGTGTCATCTTATTTTGTATTAGGTACTTACTAAATGAAATGCAACATTTTTATATCCTAGATAGGTTCTTTGGTGCTTTTCCAATTCCCAAGTTATACTTCTGGCAAGTTTATAGCACAGACTTTCATTTTATTTTAAATAAGCAAATGAAGAGTTATTGCTCCATGAATATGAAGAGGGTATTTAACTGCTATTTCATTCTTGTTGGAATCTCTGTTTTAGAAGAGATGTGTGCATGTAAAGGCATTTTCTTAAAAGGAGAAACTTGTGTCTTGGAGATCTGGAAGCCTTTGCTCGTGGTCCCAGAATTTGGGGAATTGGGGCAGTTTACACGTTGTATAACTTGCCCTCCAAAAGCATCATTAATTCAACTTACTCTGAAGGACGGACCAGATCTGGAGTAACTTTCTTGCTATAAACCTCCAGAGAAAAGCAGAGCTCTGCAATTGCTTTTGAAATGAAACCAAATGCTCCATTTCCGAGTATGTACCAAGTTGATGGAGTCTCTGAATTTGTGGTTTCTGGAACCATCTGGATTTACTGTGGGGCCCTCCCGAGGCTGCTGTTCTCACACCTGCCCCATTTCCCCTCCATCTCTGAGCTCCAGTGTCCATGGCGTCCCCTCCAGCTTTAGACCTTAGAGAGGGGCTGACTGGCTCTGACCCCTCAGCAGCAGGGGCTCGGCTCCGCTCCCGGACTTGCTCCCAGGGGCACAGGACGTAATAACACAACAGCGTCAACAGCAAATACAAATTAAACTTTGTTTTGCAAGTTTTTTGGCACAAGATTGCTAGACATGCTTAAAGAGATTGAAATATATTATTAAGCTATAGTTAGGAATAACAATTTAGTGTCTTTGCAAAATTGTAAATCTTATAATTATTCAAAATAACTCCTACAGATGGGCCACCATCATAGTAATGAACTTTTCATGGTACTTTCTATGTGCCAAGTCTATTTTCAGAAGTGTGTGTATATATATATCTCACTGCACAGATACCTTATAACAACCAAATAGAGCCATCATATCCTCGTTTTACAGATAAAAGAAAATGAGGCATTTAGAGGTTAAATAACTTGCTCGAGATTACATAGTCAGTAAGTGGTGGAATTGGGGACCCAGGACACCAACTGAGTGTCTCCTGTAGGGCAGACAATTATGCTAGCATGAAAAAGCTCTAGAAATTTCCTTCATGAACATGTTAGGGAAGCTCTTTATACCATATCCTAGGTAGAGAGAGAAAATTACGTGTGCAGTATTGAGAAACTTAAAAATGCATTAAGAATAACGAGATCATTTGTTAGACGACTACTTTGTTTTTTATAATTAAAAGCACTTTAGACTTTAAAATGTTATGTAATGGAGACAATTTAAAATCAAGACTACTCTAATACTAGATAGAGAAGTCGGTGGACTTAAACTGGAACAGAACCATTGTTTTTCTGATGAGGGACCCCCATCCCCTATATCCCAAAGCCCCACTGCGCTCTCACAGGTAAATCTCATGCATCCCCACACGTCCTGAAGAAACAGACAATATTCACCTCTTAAGTTGTAGCCAATAATCATTCCATTATTTGCCTTTCAAAGTCAGCAATAAAGCTTATAGTTTTTTTCCAGCTACGTGTAAAATTCACCAGTTCAGATTTTTTACTAAATCGTTTCTTAGCTAGGCCCTGAACCTGTGGGTAGCATGGCTCCAGGACAGGACAACAGGCAAATCAAGTTCCTCCTGCAACATTTTATTATCGGCTCTGACATACACGCTCACAGACAGAGAAGTTTCAGAAATGCCAGGACAGAGGTAAAGAGAAAAAAAGACGCCTCCTCTCTGGTAATTACCCAGCTTTCCTGGGCCTACAGCTGACTCTCTGACTGTCCAGCTACATGTGGAGACGGGCCGAGGACACCGCTTCTTATTTCATTATAAAGTTGTGAACTCCACCCCGTCTTGGGCAATTATGGCAACAGCTCACACATAGGCAGATACACAGAAGGCAGGGCTCCCTGTCCATGGCCACAAGGAAACTGCTTTTCTCACAATAGGGAATTAGAAAGATGAGACTCAGTGACTGGGGCGGGCTCTTGGGGCTGGGTGGGGGTGGACACGAGTGGAGACACGGATGGACCACACAGACATGACGCGCATCAGACCTCAGTGACAGTCATTTCCAAGCTGTTCAGGTACCGAGAAAGGAGCCTTACCCGGGCCTTCTGCTCCATTTCTAGCATTAATCTTTCGTGTTGCTCTGCTATGGCCAGTGTCGCAGAATGGACCTTCTGATAGATCATTTCTCCTTCCCTTGTTTGAAAAGTGAACAGGCCTTCTCCCGTGTCACACATTCTGCGAGAACAGAGACAGGGAAAGAGATGGGTCTTCATGTGCTCACGCGCTAACAGTTCTCCACGTGAAAGATGCCCCTGCCCTGGGTCACCCTCCACCTCGACTCACAGGAGGCAGGGAGGCGGGTTCATTCTTGACCACACCAGCCGGCCAACCCACTACCGTGTGGAACTAAAAATCCACGTATATTTGGACGTTTAGATGAAGCGTTCGCAAGGGTGTAAGGGGACAGATAAAAGTGGTGTGGGTTATTGCAGTGCATAAGGAATGAAAACAAACACCTCTTTTTGAGAGGGCTTTCACCTGTGTGATTTCATAGCGCTCCCTCCTATGACTCAGTCGCTCTGGAAACGGAAAGAACTTGAGAAAAAGCTGCAGTTGTACGCTCCATGCAGTGGAACCAATAAGAGGACTGTAACATTTTAGTATATGAATCTGAATGCATAGGCTGAGGCTTTTGTTTAAACTGAGTGATCCTTCTGTAAATGTCGGTACAGTTTAGGGAGCAACATGGCATAAAGGAGACTCCATTATATCTGGTTTGAACTTGGGCTCTGCCACTTACCAGCAGGGTGACCTTGGGCAAGTCGAGTAACTCGCCTGTACGTCTTTCCCATACATTGAACGTATGAAAGACAACAGCTCCCATCTCGTAAGATCCTCATGACTGTTAAAGACCTGATATGCAAAATATTTAGAGTGTTGCTCGGCACCCATGAAGTGCTCCAAAATGTTAGCGATCGCTATTTCGCTCGTAACGTATGGAGCTAAAGTCAGTATCCACTACAGAGAAATGTTGGCTTAGTTTTAATATTTGTATCTGATGGAACATTAGGCAGTTATTTCTCTGTCATTCCTAAGAGCACAGAATACATTAGAGATTCTTATTCCATAAATTCAAGAGGAAAAATCAGAAGACAGATTCTTTTTCAATTGTTGAGTTGTAATTACGTTTTTAAGACGTGATTTTTTTATTGGAATAAACCAATGACAGTTTGTTAGGCAGTGGGATGATAGGTAAGTTTTATTGACAAAGAGTAATTCTAAAATGGAAAATATTTTAAATTACTATTTTAAGCCAGCTTTTAAAGATCATTGGAGGCCTTGAGAGAAACTATCGGTGTGATGTTCCCACTCAGACGTTGGGCATTAACTGGATTGCTGGGTGGCTGGTTTTCAGGTCACAACGTCTTTTTACAAAACGTTCATGAGGCCAAACTATGTCTTCCAGCACCAAAAAAGGTTTCAGTCCTTCGAGATGACTCTCCGGGGAGTTTTTAGTAGAAAAGGAATGTCTCAGGAGGCTCAGGCATTCCAGACGCCGTGACTGCCACCCCTGAGGGCCCCATAGAGCCAGCTCTCAGCGTCTGCGAAAGAGATCTTAATAAAATCCACGCGGCGTGAAATGGAAAGTCTGGGGGGAAATGAAGAGTCTTCACAGAGTGAGACCAATGAGCTTTCTCTGTTGACTCGGGGAGCAAAGCCATCCAGCGGCAGGCGCAGGAAAGCCCGTGATGAGTGGGGAGCACGTTTTGTTTGTGGCTGACTTCTGTTCATTGTCATCTGAAAAACACTGCCTGTGCGCCTTGGGAAACGGAAGAATGAACACGCCGACCGCCGTGTCACACTCAGGCCCTGGGACGCAGGCGCCAGTTCCCGGGACATCGTCCTGCCCAGAGAGGGAGCTCGGAGGCTCACAGCGGGGCTTTTTCCAGCCTGCGAAACGGAACCGACCCTGGATCAAGAGTCCAGGACTCAGGCTGGCGCTATAAAGACGTTTAGGGGGCAGTGCTCGCTCTTCACTGCAGGCACCTGAGGCCATGCTGAAGTCAAAATCTCCAGGGACTAGTATGAAATAATGCTGATATAAACTGTAATTGAAAAAGGGGAAAAAATTAAAAATTCTTCAGTAAAATGGGCTCATCTTTACGCCTTCTGTCAGCAGTGCTGGGATGGATGGGAGGCGGACCTGCACACGGGTGCTGCACTGTGCGGGGCGCTCCCAGCTGCCCCCAAGGGGAGCCAGCTCTGCACTGGCGCCCAGGAGGCGACACCATTACCTCTACCCGCTCCACCACCGCCCTCCTTCCCGGCCGGTCTCAGCTCCGGCTTCGCACTTCATCAGGGGTGGCTCCAAAATTCCAGTCTTTCTTCCAAAGGACGAACAGAAGAAGCCGAGGGAGCGAGGCAAACGATGAAGAGCCAGCGGTGGGCGCGTCAGCACCCTCCTCTGGGCGTCTTCAGGCGGAGCTGCAGACCTCTGGCGGCCTTGCCCACCTTCCCAGCTGTTTAATTCCGTTCTCGCCGGACATTTGGCGACTTGGTATCTATATTTAATGGCCACATAGGGATCCCCATGTGCTCAGACATTTCAAACTCTCGACGACGGAGGGGGACAGGGACACTCTCCTGAAAACCCAGTGGTGGTTCTATCCAGTATTTAAAATTTAGTGTTTAATTATAGAAAGTAATGAAATCCTTAAAACACAGCTTTTGTGCAGTGCAGTTAAAACCAATTAGCACCTTTATTCCATTACCAGTTTAATCTTTATCGTTATTTAACAACGCTAGCAGTTTACTATTTTTTAAAGTGGCTGTGAAGAGGCTGAAGCTTCTCCGGAAGAGCGCCGGTGAGTCAGACTTTGATCCACGGTGACCAAGTGCAAGCAAAGTGTGGAACCGCAGAGAGACTCCACTTCTTCGACCTGACTTTTGCTCCCTTCTTTCCTTTGGATGCAAGCTGGCCTCATCCGGCATCTGACTCACCTGCGCGTGACCTGTCCCTCAGTGATTGTGCCCTCAGGACAATGAGGTTCTGGTCAGCATCAAACAACCTAGGAACAGAGACTTGGGTCTGTTGACCAGAGAAACAGTTTCGGTCAAACGGGAAAGTCAGGTCTTTGAGCATTACCTTGCCTGTCTCCAGGCGTGGGCTGCTCCCTCAAAGGAAACCCTTCTCTCCTTTGCTGCAAACTCCTGCTCATGCGAATTACCTCACTGTGCCTCTGAACACCCTACAAGGCCCTCATTGCTTCCCAGAAAACAGCGTCATCCTAAGGAGGTTAAAGACTGTGCCCAAGGCCATTAAAATTTAAGTGGCTGAGCTGTGATCTGAACCTAGCCATGTGATTTTGGAGGGTAACCTTATTACCACTAAGCTAGATTTTGCATCCATTCAAGATGGGCACAAAAGCATGGATAATTCTTTAATTATGAAAGTTTGGGGAGTAGAGACAGAGAGTTCCAGACAGGGCTTGGAATAATACATTTTGAAGGCTGTCTCCCTCTTTGCCTCAGTTCCTTTTATGGCAAATTGGGTTTCTCAATAGATGCTCCAGTTAAATGCATATCAAGATTAATCAGTCAGTCAATCAATCAATCAAACTGTAGAAATGAGGAAGCAAACCCTCTCTGTGCTCCCAACCTCATGTCAAGAGCTTTGTAAGGAGGAAGGTGTAGCACTTGCCACCCTCTGCCTCCTGACTGGGCCCCTGTCTGGCCCCAAACACTGCAGGCAGATGGTGGCTGTCCTTGCCTGACTCACTGCTGGTGCCCTAGGGCTACAGTGCTTTCCTCAAACAAGACCTGAGCCAACCTGGAGATCTTGATTTTATCCCAGGCTCTGATGCAAATCTGCTTGTGAAATGCCATTGTGATCTTTTATAGAATTAATTTTTTTTTAACAAAAGAGTTGATCTAAGTCATTTCAAAGTCACATATATGCTTCAAATTTTTACAATTCCTCCATTGTGTGCTCAGGGATGGCCGGACCACAATCACGTTAATGAAAATAGCCCCATCTTCTTAGATATTTTCAAAGTTTTCATTTAATTCTGTTCCATTTACTTTTTCTATGTTTCAAATTTTCTTTTCTTTCTTTTTTTCCCCAACTCAATGAAGAAGCCCATTGAGCCTCCCTGAAGCAGTCTGAAGTTTTGGCTTAGTGAGTCCTTGAGAAGATATAAGATACTCTCCATGTGCCTTCCTTTCTGCCTCAAGAATTGAGAATTGGAAAGTCCACCATGTGAAGATGAAAGGTAAGTTATGGACTTTAGTTGCCATTTAATTACCTCAGTACATAATCACAAATTATCACCATTATCATTATTATTCTGTTACATTATTTGTTTATGAAGGTTTAGCAAAAAAGCATTTAAAAAGGTTTATAGCTAATTTTATATTCATCCTGTATACATATCTCCCAGTAGTTTACAGTAAAAATCTCAGCTTCTCCTTGAGAATTAGAAGTTTCAGCCCCAAGTGTCAGTCACAAAAAGCATGCAACGTACTCCATGTCTGTTCATCGAAATAACTTGAAATTTATCAATTTGATGGCTACCTGGTAGGTACAGATTTTGTAGGGCCTGATAGCAAAAAATAAAGTAAAATGCAGTGTAAAAGAGAGAAACTTTTTTCTTTGAAGAATGACCCACGGTGTTAGCGTATTCTTCTGAATGGGGTGCGCGGAACAAAGGAAAACAGAGCTGATACATCCTTACGTTCCCAGCTGATGTACCCTTGCTCTGTTGTAAGACTGTGAGGAGACAGTTGCCAGTACATACTCAGACCTCCATGTCCGGGGAAAAGCTAATAACAACAAAGCAAGTCAAGCGAAAGTTTAATTTCTATCACTTAGAAATTAGACTTCTCTTTTAACGTGAATTTGACTGCCAAGTTAGGGTTGGGCAATTTTTACAGCTGAACATGTGCGTCACTGATAGTCACTGAATTGGGAGAGCCATGCTTCTCTCTCTGATTCTGAAGAAAACCTAAGAACGAGATCATTATATTCCCTCAGAGCAAAGGAGCATGTAATCAGGGTTTAAAAATTACATTTTCACTCTCTTTTTGCATTAAATACAGTTAATTAAGGTAATTTTTAATTATGTAAAAGATACTTTCAGTGCCTAAGTAACCATAGAAGAAAGTGTGTAAATTATAGCCAAAACAGAAAAGAAATGTAAGAGTATCCTTGATTTTACGTTCAAGTTTCCCTTTCT